AAAGAGGATGTCAAACTATCCCTGTTTGCTGATGATATGATCTTGTATCTAGAAAACCCTAAAGACTCTACCCAAAGACTCCTAGAATTGATAAATTCAGTAAAGTCTCAGGTTACAAAATTAATGCACACAAATCAGTAGCATTTCTATAGACTAATAACAGTCAAGCTGAGAGTCAAATCAAGAACTCAATACCGTTTACAAGAGCTACAAAGAAAATAAAATACCTAGGAATACACATAATCAAGGAGGTAAAAGATCTCTACAAGGAGAACTACAAAACACTGATGGAAGAAATCACAGATGACACAAATAGAAAAACATCCCAAGCTCATGGATTGGAAGAATCAATATTATTAAAATGTCCATACTATCCAAAGTGATTTACAGATTCAATGCCATTCCCATCAAAATACCAGCGTCCTTTTTCACAGATCTAGAAAAAACAATCCTAAACTTAAAGCAATCTTAAGCAAAAAGAACAGCACTGGAAGCATCACATTACCTGATTTCAAATTGTACTACAAGGCTATAGTAATCAAAACAGCAATGTTACTGGTACAAAGGTAGACACATAGACCAATGGAATAGAATAGAGAACCCAGAAATAAAGCCATATAACTACAACCAATTGATTTTTGACAAAGCAGGCAAAAACATATATACACTGGGGAAAGGATGCCCTATTCAATAAATGATGCTGGGAAAATTGGATAGCCATATGCAGAAGAATGAAACTGGATCCCTCTCTCTTCCCTTCTTAAAAAAATTAACTCAACATGGATTAAAGACTTCAATGTAAGACCTGAAACCATAAAAATTCTGGAAGAAAAACAGGCCAGGCACAGTGGCTCATGCCTGTAATCCTAGCACTCTGAGAGACCAAGGTGGGAAGATTGCTTGAACTCAGGAGTTCAAGACCAGCCTGAGCAAGAATGAGATCCTGTCTCTACTAAAAAATAGAAAAAATTAGCCGGGCAACTAAAAAAATAGAAACAAAAAATTAGCCGGGCATGGTGGCGCATGCCTGTAGTCCCAGCTACTCGGGAGGCTGAGGCAGGAGGATTGCTTGAACCCAGGAGTTTGAGGTTGCTGTGAGCTAGACTGATGCCATGGCACTCACTCTAGGCTGGGTGACAGAGTGAGACTCTATCTCAAAAAAAAAAAAAATTTTCTAGAAGAAATATAGGAAAAAACTTTTTGGAAATTAGCCTAGGCAAAGAATTTATGACTAAGACCCCAAAAGCAAATATAGCAACAAGAAAATAAATAGAACTTAATTAAACTAAAATGTTTCTGCACAGCAAAGGAAATGATCAACAGATACATAGACAACCTACAGAATAAAAGAAAATATTTGCAAAGTATATATCTGACAAAGGGCTAATATCCAGAATTTATTAAAATACTCAGTCAGCAAGAAAATAATAACCCCATCAAAAAGTGAGCAAAAGATATCAACAGATTTTTTTCAAAAGAAAATAGACAAATGCCAACATATGAAAATATGCTCAACATCACTAATCATCAGAGAAATGCAAATTAAAACCACAATGAGAGGCCGGACACGGTGGCTCATGCCTGTAATCCTAGCTCTCTGGGAGGCTGAGGCGGGAGGATCATTTGAGTTCAGGAGCTCGAAACCAACCTGAGCAAGAGCGAGACCCCATTTCTACTATAAATAGAAAGAAATTAATTGGCCAACTAATATATATAGAAAAAATTAGCTGGGCATGGTGGCGCATGCCTGTAGTCCCAGGGAGGCTGAGGCAGCAGGATTGCTTGAGCCCAGGAGTTTGAGGTTTCTGTGAACTAGGCTGATGCCACAGCACTCACTCTAGCCTGGGCAACAAAGTGAGACTGTCTCAAAAAAAAAAAAAAAAAAAAACCACAATAAGACATCACTTTACCCTTGTCAGAATGATCATTATTATTATAAAAAGTCAAAAAGCAATAGATGTTGGCATAGATGCAGTGAAAAAGGGATACTTATATACACTGTTGGTGGGAATGTAAAGTAGTACAATTGCTATGAAAAACTGTAGGGAGATTCCTCAAAGAACTAAAAGCAGACCTACCATTTGATCCGGCAATCCCACTACTACTGGGTATCTACCGAAAGGAAAGAAAGTCATTTTATAAAAAAGATATCTGCACTAGAATGTTTATAGCAGCGCAATTCACAATTGCAAAGATATGGAATCAACCTAAGTGCCTATCAACTGATGAGCACTTGGATTAAAAAAAAAATGTGGGGGCCAGGTGTGGTGGCTCTCGCCTGCAATTCTACCACTCTGGAAGGCAGAGGCAGGAGGATCACTTGAGGTCAGGAGTTTGAGACCAGCCTGAGCAAAAGCGAGATCCCATCTCTACTAAAAATAGAAAATATTAGCGAGGTGTGGTGGCACTCGCCTGTAGTCCCGGCTACTCTGGAGGCTGAGGTAGGAGGATCACTTGAGCCCAGAAGTTTGAGATTGCTGTGAGGTAGGCTGATGCCCTGGCACTCTGATCCAGGTGACAGAGCGAGGCTCTATCTCAAAAAAAAAAAAAAAAAAAAAAGGCATATTTAAACCATGGGGTACTACTGAGCCATAAAAAGGAATGAAATAATGCCTTTTGTAGCAACTTGGATGGAACTGGAGACCACTATCCTACGTGAAATATCTCAGGAATGGAAGAACAAATATCACATATTCTCAGTTATAAACGGGAGCTAAATGAGGGATACATATGGTCATAAAGTGGTGTAATGGACATTGAAAACTAAGAAGGGGAAGAGTGGTGGGGTGAGGGATAAAAATCTACCTATCATATACAATGTACATTATTCTGGTGATTGGTACCCTAATAGCCCTGACTCCAGTATTATACAATTCATCCATGTAACAAAAAACACTTTTACTCCCTAAATCTATTGAAATAAAAAAAAAAATAAAGGCATCAAGTAACACATTGCAGTAGTGCTTAGTGCAGTAGTGCTTTCCGTTCTTAGGCTACTTAGCTTAAAACTAAGCTAAAAAGGCCCACTTTTTCTTTCATTTAGTAGTTTTGAAAAATTACCATATCAAGTAATATTTCTTGATCATATGTGTTAATAAAAGTAAAAGATTAATGTGTTTTCAAGGCAGTTGATTAAAATTTTACAAAATCTGTTCATGTACCCAGGTTTTAGTATAACTTAATATATGCCTATTTTAAATAGACAGAACTAGTACACATGCATAAGCACAATTACTTTGGGGAGTATTTGTTATTCATATCACATTTTTTAATATACTCACAGGAAAAATTTCCTAATATCCTTCCTATATTCATTCATATTTAGACTTGTTGATTTACTCTTTGAGATTCAGATTAAAAAGTATTGTTTTGTGCAACATTCACCAGATTTTTAAAAATTACAAATGCAATTGTACTTTGTTTCAGTATAACACGTGTAGCTATAAAAGAATATAGCTACAATTTCTGTTACTTAGAAATCAAATAGAACTAGCCCTTGTTTAAAAAGCTTTCTCTATACTAATTTTTTAAATGTACTATTACTTAAAGCTAGATATATACAGATAAGAATATCTTATCAATATTCTTCATCATTGATAAGATAAAAATCTTAAGTGAAAACAGAACATTATGACAATTTTTAAAAAATACATTTCTAAGCAAACCAGTATACTGACTGGTATTTTGTACAGATCTTTATTAAAACCCCTAAAAATGGGTAACAGATACCAGAAAACCTTAGAACTCTGACAGGTATCTGGAAAGATGGTAAACTCATTTTGAAACAAAATCCTTTCTTGACAACTGAGCATACTCAACTACTAGAGGTACATGCTAGTTCTCCAGGTTTTGGAGAAGCAGATAAAAGAAAAAGGAAGATAAATAAAGCACTAAAACTAACACACAGACTGAATTTGAATGGAATAGGACAAGGAAAAGAGTAATACACGCAAAAACATGGGAGCACTGAGAAACTACCAAGACCGGTCAGATTTTATTTGGCCCTCACATCAAACTAAGGAATATCCTGGGTGCATACTAAAAGAGAATGAGAGATAATAAAGTTGGGGCAAGAAGAATTCTTGATGGGCAATGTGAATATTCTGTATTTGGAAACTAAAATTTTTAGTTCCATGTTTTCATTGTGCTTTTTAATTATCAAAGGGAAAATTGGTCTTATTAATACTATATTATAATAGACTTAGCATATTATTTTTAGTCTCTGCTTTGGAGAGAGAGGTAAAAGGCTCTATACTCCAAACCAAATAAAATAATATAACCAGTAAAGCCAATGCTGATTTTTTTCTTTGAATTTTTAACTAAAATATAAATATTAATAATTTGATGAGTTTTAGCTATTAAAACATGAGGTTCTTGGACATTGAAGAAGAAAATTCATATGAATTCAATCTGTCTACATTTCCATGGAAGACATACTAAACATCAAAATCAGGCTCTTAACTATCCTTTGCCAAGAATATTTGCCCTCTCTAATATTTTGTTAGTAAAAAGATATGTCACTATTTTGCTTTGGGCTAGATTATATTATATAAATAAGGCTGACGTACAAGATATTAAATAAAAGATTCAGACTGGTTCAAAATTGCTATCGCTCTGTAACAATACGAGGAGAGTCCTTTTTCAAGGCCTTGTTGAATTCTCAAATATAGTTTGACTTGTTAAAAAGCCAATGTATGTGAAAGTACAAGGTATGTTTATATGTATATGAAAGTACAAGGTATGATAAACAACAAATATAGTAAAAAAAATCAAGTTATAATCTTTTTAAAAAAGTATGAATTTCTAAAAAAGGATATAGTCCTTAATTGTCACTTCTGCTTTATGATACAATTTAGAGAATATAATCTCTTAGATTCAGTCTTTTTAAAAAATAAAACCTAAGTATAAATAGAAAAAGGTACCACGAATTCCTTTTAAAAGGAAAGACAACATTAAATACAAACCTTTTTTTCGAAATGATTTGATGGCTGTATAATTACCTCTGTGCTAATATCGTGATATTGAGTTGAAGCTGCCCCGCACTTGAGCCTGAGTTTTGCCACCAGTTGCTCAAAGTCTTTAACTTCACTGAAGCGAAAAGCTGTTTTTCCTTTGATGCTAATGATGACAGATTTGCTGGAATCATTTGTCTTATCTATAGCTAAGACCTGGAGGGTAAAAACATATGTAAATGAATCGTATTTTCCCTTATCGTTGATACTTTCAGGTAAAATGTGTTTGGCCTACTCGTGTGGCTAAAAGTTTTGGTCCATGGTATGACTTATTAAGAAATAGACTTCGGCCATGTGCACTGGCTCACATCTGTAATCCTAGCACTTTGGAAGACTGAGGTGGGAGGATCACTTAAGTTCAGGAGTTACAGACTAGCCTGAGCAACATATTGAGACACCATCTCTACAAAAAATATAAAAAAATTAGCCAGGCATGGTGGCACCTTCCTGTAGTCCCAGCTACTCGGGAGGCTGAGGCAGGAGGATTGCTTGAGCCCAGGAGTTTGAGGTTTCAGTGAGTAATGATGATGCCACTGCACAGTGCACTCTGATGCCTGGGCAACAGAGCAAGGCCTTGTCTCAAAAAAAAAAAAAAAAAAAAAAAAAAGAAATAGACTTTGTGTACTAGTTGCAACAAATATATAAGTAACCTCAGTGCAGGTTATTTCACTTCTCAAGGGAAAGGTTTAAGTAACACCTTTAAAAATGACAATACAAATGTAAGCATTCTATAATGAATACTGACAATTTATTTCTGACTTATACAAAAGCTATCAATTCTACTTTTCTGACCAAGTACATCAAATGTGAGAGTCTAAGTTTTGGTATTCATGTCATAAACATCTGAATGATAAAGCTCCATTCTGCATCATTCTAAGCCCTTATCTTGTTTCTCAATTTTTAATTTTTTTTTTTTTTTGAGACAGAGTCTCGCTTGTTGCCCAGGCTAGAGTGAGTGCCGTGGCGTCAGAGCTCACAGCAACCTCAAACTCCTGGGCTCAAGCAATCCTTCTGCCTCAGCCTCCCAAGTAGCTGGGACTACAGGCATTCGCCACCATGCCCGGCTAATTTTTTGTATATATATATTAGTTGGCCAATTAATTTCTTTCTATTTATCGTAGAGACGGGGTCTCGCTCTTGCTCAGGCTGGTTTCGAACTCCTGACCTCGAGCAATCCGCCCGCCTCGGCCTCCCAGAGAGCTAGGATTACAGGCGTGAGCCACCGCGCCCGGCCCAATTTTTAATTTTTAACACTTAAAAATTTTCACTTTCAGTAACAGCTGTAAAGCTGCACTAAAAGAAACAGATAATTTCTCAGAAGCTAGTACTCTTACCCTGAAGAATAATATTGAAATTAAAAAATTATTATTTTAAATTACTAAAGGAATACTGATATTGAGTTTTTAATAATTTATAGAATTAAAGGACATTTTACTCTGTGAAAAACATTTTCAAACTAAAAATTAATACGTAACCAAATTTTTATTACCTCTCGTAATGGAATGATTACACTACATAGACTGCCATCTTGGCTAGCAAAGCAGATATAGTTTTCTGAGATGCACATTTTTCCATGAGTATTGAAGTGGCTGAATGGTACCCATAAGAAACATTCATGTACTTCTTTCAACGTCTCCTCTGTGGGCAGCCTAAAAAAGGCATTAAATTGCTCACTGTGGGCTCGATTTTCTAGACCTCTGTAGGAAGTAATAAAAAGGATGAGACACAAATAATGAATTTTAAAGTGTACACATGCCTATATCAATTAATCTAAATACACTGTAAAACAGCCAGATTAAACACTAAATGCTATGTTCTTTGACAAATTCTGAAATAGAAAAAAGCACAATGATGCCTAACAAACTCATTTTGTTTGTTCTTTTTTTCTGATTTCATTTTATGAGTAGATTAAAATGCACAAAAGTTAGAGATGATGTAGGTCTTCAAACCATCTGTTAAGGGGTGATTTGCTGGAACACTACTATTATATTATCATATATTCATAGTATGTGAGTATGGCTAAAACCAATCTTGGCAGACAATAATTTTCATATCTGGTTACCAGAAAATCAAGAGAGTTATTCAATATAACAAAATAATGAAAATGTATGGCATCAAAATTTAGAGGGGAAGAATAGTCCATAAAAGAGAATACTGAAAAATGAAATAAAAATTTGAATGTTTAAAAAAATTCAAAGTAGAGGCACGATAAAACAACACTGTTTGCACATTGCTGGGCACAAGATAGGTGTCAATAAATACAGATGACTTGTTAACTGATACATAAATATAGAAATAAAAAGCAAATAAAGCCATTTACTTGCTTTAAATAGCATAGTTTTTCTAGGAGCACTAAACACTTGTGCTAAGCAGCAATGCCATCTGGGATAGTAAGTAAATTATGCAAGTTCTAACTCAAATCCAACAACGTTAAAACTAAATTCATCCTTTCTGCATATACTATTTAAATATGTGGTATTTCATTATGTCTTTCAAAATAATTCTCATAAATATGAACAGAAACCATGACCATGTTAGTTTTTACCTCACTTAAGTTGTAATTTGGTGAGTTATTTTGTTATCATTTAAAAAGATGAGGTCTACTTATGTGAATGAAAAGATGTCCATGATACATTATTGTAGGGGGAGAAAAAGCAGATTGTAAAATATGTGAATATTCAGACACATTCATGTTTTTTGCAAATATTTTAAAATTCATGCATGAAAAAGCCTGGAAAGATTACACTAAACTTAACTATCATCATTATGCTTCTGTATTGTTTAAATTACAGAAGTAATACATATTTGTAAAAACAATAAGCAGAAGCAACAAAGATATCCCATTTTAGAAAAAAGCAATTTGGAGACTAAGTCCCAGTAAGCTATTATTCTTTTTCATTTACTAGAAAAAAAAGATTTTGCACATATATATATATGATTTTCAATAGGCTCTCTTAAAAATGCACACAAAAATGAATTTACTATATCTCATTTAAATATAGACTTGGTAATAAATAACTCATTGATAGATGGCCTTTTACACTGTATTTTAAGGAAAATAAAATAGCTAAAAATTTATGGTTATGGTGATCAAGGAGCTAACTACAAAAACAAATGCCCAAATATAACATAACACAAATAGGATTTTTAATCTTTATAGAGTTCTATTTATATAAATCATGCATATTGAGACCTAATTTTGGTAATAAAGTGTAAAAAATTCACCTGGTTTATCTAATTTCCAGAAAAGCAGGCAGGCTCACAAACAAATCCTTATGTATATGGATTTTAGGAATGGTTTAGGAATAGGCCAGGGGAACAACTATATCCAATTAGGGCTATGTAGTAATCATACAACCTTCCGGATCACTTGTTCTGGTCTATCCATAGGACTTTGGCTTAGGTTCCTCTTACACTTTTCCATACAGTCATCCTCCTTGCCAGAAGCTGCTTTCACTAGCTATTTCTGGATCCTCTCTTTTACCCCTCCCTTTTTGGCATGCTCATTTCAGTCAACTGTTCTGAGTGTTGAGCAGGATGAAAGGGCTCTGGTCAGTTTCAGCAAAAAAGCTATGAGACAGATACTTCTGAAGTAGGCACTAATAATGATTAACATCTACCTAGAGTTTTTATTTTACAAAGTGTCTTCACACCTGTTTTACTCATTCTTCACAAAGTGTCTTCTGACATACAAATTATAGATGAGGAAACTGAGGTCCTGAGAGATTATGGCTTGTCTAAGGGTTGATCTACTTTCATTCTAAAGCCCATGCTCCACTGACTCTACTAACTTGCCTCTTCATAAAATATTATGATGTCAGTAAATTATTAAAACAATAAATAACATCTTTAATAATTTCAGATCTGAAATTATTCTCTAGACTACTCATAGAGAAATTTAGAGTTAGACTAATGTCAGACACAAAAGTCTCTACATTTTTAAAAGCACTCCAGGAAAAGTCCTATCTGAATCTCAAAAAATAATTTTCAAACCTAACTTCTACTATTTCCTAGAATTAAATTTCATGGAGAGGAAGATACTATTTATGAAATGCATATGAATGAACTCAAAAAAACACACATATCCATGATCAACTCTGAAGAAAAATTATCATATAACATAGAAGAGCTAACTTTTAATGCTAATCAATGCTATCATTCTTATGGTCAAACAATACTTTAGAAAGTAAATATTAATTAAGCTTTGAATACCTTTTGGTAATCTGTAGAGGATCCTCAAGGATTGGGTCATTAGCAAATGTTTCCTTATCAAAAAGTCTCCTTATGGCATAGTTTGCCAGCTGTTCCATAAGAAGGTATGTTTGGTTAATGTGTAAAAACATTGAAAAGTAGTGATTCTCCCCTTGGGAACACACATGAATACTTTCTGTTAGTATGACATTTGAAGTCTTTTCAAGTTTTGAGATGGCATCCCAGGAGATAATGAGTTTTACTGCAAATAAGAGTTATAAGCAGGTATGAAAATTCTCAATACCAATTTATATTCATTAATCAGGTCTTTTGAAATAATAATTAACCACTTGAAAGTGCGCTAAACAGCTAAAGTACTTTAGAATTCAAGAGTTGTTAAAATTGTGAAGCATCACCATGAACACACAATGATTGGTGATTTTAGGAATAGATATAATTTTAGAGAATTTTTAAAAAAAGATTCTGATTTGATATTTAAATCTGTTTCTTTATATAATTACATAATTATATAACTACTGACATAAAAGCTGTTTATATGTGTAAATAAATATAAATAATACTGTTTGATTCTTCATTGTGGCTGCGAAGTGAGGTATGGGCCATTAGGTACTATGGTACTATATTTATATGCTTAATATAAGGATTAAAACACAGACTCGGGCCGGGCGTAGTGGCTCATGTCTGTAATCCTAGCACTCTGGGAGGCCGAGGTGGGCAGATTGCTCCAGGTCAGGAGTTCGAAACCAGCCTGAGCAAGAGTGAGACCCCCGCCTCTACTATAAATATAAAAAAATTAATTGGCCTACTAATATATATAGAAAAAATTTAGCCGGGCATGGTGGCACATGCCTGTAGTCCCAGCTACTCGGGAGGCTGAGGCAGTAGGATCACTTGAGCCCAGAAGATTGAGGTTGTTGTGAGGTAGGCTGATGCCACAGCACTCACTCTAGCCTGGGCAATAAAACGAGACTCTGTCTCAAAAAAAAAAAAAAAAAACACAGACTAAAGCAAGTAGGTAGTTTATAACATGGGATAGAAAGCAGTGATATGCCAGATTGCTATCATCATTTAATATTCATTCACTTCCCATAATATGCAAGGCATTCTATACACACTTCTAATTGTTCCTATATTAAACAACCAGTCTTAAAAAGATTTTCTCTAGAGGAAATGAACTTTCATGTGTACAGTTTAGCTATCTTTAATATCAATCCCATTACTTTATTTATGATCTAACACCACCACAGAATCGATAGGTCAGACAGTAAGTTCAAAGCTCATGGTAAGCAATAGAAACCACTTACTTTCTGATCCCAATAAAAAAGAATAGAAGCTCAGAAAGTTGGTGCTAAGATAAAGCCAACCCTGACAAGGAACCCGTCCTTTCCAATAACTGCACGAATAATAGGTCACTAACTTCTCTTGCTCTGGTAAACCAAAACATTTTTCAAATTTCAAAAGGGCTTCTCGGAATTTCTCAGGATCATCTTCTTTTGCAAAAGAATGTTTTCCCTCTTCAGCAATTAATCCCTAAAAGAGAAAAAATATTTTCTGAAAATTCATTATCACCTACCAACAAAATTATATCTCGTACATTTACACAGATTATTGAATACAACTGTACAGTTAGCTCTCTGTATCCATGGGTTCTGCATTTGGGGATTCAACCAACCAGGGATTGAAAATATTTGGAAAAACAAATCCACAAAGTTTCAAAAAACAAAACTTGAATTTGCCACACACTGAGTACTATGTTGAATCCACACATATGAAGTGATGCATAGGCAATGTATTAGGTATTATAAGTAATCTAGAGATTATTTAAACTATATGAGTGGTTGTACATAGGTTATATGCAAATACTTTGCCATTTTATATAACACACTTGAGCATCCATGGATTTGGGTGTCTGTGGAGAGTGCTGGAACCGATCCTCCATGGATACCTAGGGATGACTATATATATCTATACAGGTACCTACAGCGTATGTATGTATATATGTGTGCACATACATAATTCTCTTAGGACAGAGGAGAGCAGATTTTCTCCAGTTATGTACTGAGGTTTTTACTAATGCCTCACAAGGAACTACCACAAATACAGGTGCTAAATATCTTCTTTTGAATGAACAAAGGGTTTATTCAAACTCAAAACTCAAGAAATATTGAAATGAAAGTGTCCCTAAAAGCACTCACAAGGGCACCAAAGACAAACCACTGACTTCACAATTTTCTTTAGCATTGATTCTGACATTCATAACATGCCTCTACTAATAGTGAAAGGTGTCAGTGAAACAATGACCTTCTATGCAACTTTTGATCCACATATAAGAGAGTCAAACATTGTAGTATTCCATCCACAAAATATATCCATGCCACTTACTCTTATCTTTCCTTGTACAAAATTAGTAATATCTTCACTTGAATCAAATACAGATAAGGTCTTCATAATATTTTGTTCCAACCAATCCCAATGCTTGGTTATTTCTTCTCTGTTGGCTCCTGAATAATAAGAGAAAATAAACCAATCAAGGAAAATTCCACATCAAAACTGCACTTGATATAATATTTAAAAGCTTAGTTCAAAAATAAATAAAATATACTTTAAAAAATGGTCATAAAGGAATAAAGGTATTACATTTATTCTCTACTTCATCCCTATATGTGGGCATGAACAGTATTTCTCATTATAAATAGAAAGAATAAAATATTTAATGAAATGGGAGAAAAGTAAATACAACTCATGAAAAAAAGATACAAAATTCTGAAAACAAGATATCAGTAACTGGTGCCTCGAGAGTAACCAGCATTTTTTAAGAGAGTATACAGAGTACCAGTAAGTAATCTAGAGATTATTTAAACTATATGGGTGGGTGCACATAGGTTATATGCAAATACTTTGCCATTTTATATAACAGACTTGAGCATCCATGAATTGTGGTGTCTATGGAGAGTGCTGGAACCGATCCCCATGGATACCTAGGGATGACTATATGTATCTATATAGGTACCTACAGTGTATGTATGTATATATGTGTGCACATACATAATTCTCATTATATATACATATACATAATTCAATCTTTGGTCTTCAAATAATACAGTTAATACCATCTCTATAATCTGTGTGGTTAAAAACAGCATGCATGTGACAATCCTATGCATGCTGTGTAAATGTGTATTTCGATTGTGGCCACTCACTCTACTTATTTCGGAAGCCATGGAACCTTTGCTCAGAGTCACCACATTAATTAAAAGATCTAGTAAGCTTAAAAATTTTCATGAAGGAGTTCAGAAACCCTGTAGCAAGGTTAAACCCATGTGGCTGCTGAATCAGTGTTGGGTGGCTTGTGGAGGGTCAGATTAAATATTATTAGCTCTAGTTTGCTTTGGCTTGAAGAATATCTTGATATCATCAATTTCCCCCTATTACTTACATACCTTGAAGATCTTCTCAGCATGGATGATATAAATCTCACCCAAAAGAAATATATTAACTTTTTTTCTTTAGAGATGAGGGTCTTGCTATGTTGCCCAGGCTGCTCTCAAATTCCTGGCCTCAAGCAATCCTCCCACCTCAGCCTCCCAATTAGCTGGGATTATAGGTATGTATTACTGTGCCCAGTCATGTTGACTTCTTAGTATGTTTTATGATATATGAAAACCAATACATTAAAAAATTTATTGGCATTGCAAAATTGTCTATTTCCCTAAAAATCAGTTAGAACTTTATTCATGTTACTAAAGTAATCATACCAAGAGTAATAACTTTCTTTAATGAGCCACAAATAAAAGTCATGGGGACTATTACGGCCTTTATTTTGATTCTTTAGGTATAAGGAAGCTTCATTAGTAGGTAATAACTATATTTCTGTATCAGGTTAATTCAGGGAAATGAGTTATATAATCATCCTTTTTTAACATATAAAGGACATGTTTTTCTAAATAATTTCTACCAACCAGATTTAGAGTGAGGTTACAGAATTTTCATGTCAGCAGGTATAATGTCATCTTCATTTAATTTAAATTGCATTCAATTTGAGAAAGCCAGGAGAAAAGACTGGCAACACTAAAGGAAATTTAGAGAGAAATACAAAAACAAGCCAGACATGCTAAAAAATTAATTATATGCTGCATGTTCACACATATGAACTGTCCACAAATTCATGTGCTTTTGTTCCTTTTTTGAGTATATCCACTTTAGAAGAGAGGGGGAGAAGAGAGAAAGAGATAAAGGCAGTCTTTCAAAATTAAAAAGGCCAGAAACCTGGGATTCTAATTTAGACCAACATTATAATGGCATCACCAAAACAGTAACAAACTATGAATGCGGGTTTTTAAAAGTTATTTTTATTTGCTTTATTAGAAAGAATTATGCTTATTCCTTTTCTATCCACTATATACATGTGGAAGCATCTGAACTAGCCTGGCATGAATGAATATGTAGCATTACTTGTAAGACATTCCTTCATATTTCAAGGATATGTTGCCTTTTGTGAGAAAATAGATGTGTGAATAAAAAGGGTTTAATTTTTCAGGCTTATACTTTCTTAGGGGACAACTTTTAAGTCTTGGGCTCAGAGTTAACTTCAGATTCTCCTCATCTGAGTTATTAGAAACGGAACAATGCATTTCATGGGGATGTTCTCATCTTCCCTACAGTTGGGTGAAGCAGAAGTTGAAGAAAAGAGACATACAGCAGTGGCAGTGAGCAAACTCTGATCAGAATCAGCACTGCTGAACCACATGCTTCAAGTCCCTCACACCAATAGATTTTTAAAAACCTTAATAATCTGTAACCTTCTTAAATAAACAGAAGTATTGCTATTCTCTCAAAGTAAACTTGCACATTTAATGTGTTTCTAAATCTCAGAACAACTAGGGAGTATAAATAAACATTCAGTTTCTTAGTATCCTTATTTAATTTGAATTATATGTTTAAAAAATCATACTTACCACATGCAATTGACAAGTAAACTTGAGAATCTGGTGTCTGGTGTAGGATGCGAAATGGAGCTACTTTAGCAGTAGAGTCTAAAACCGAATCCAGAGTCCCAACCAGAAGCCCTGTGTAATAGAAAGACTGTTGATATAAAGGCTTTATAAAAGATAAATAAAGTCAATATCATTTCATATAATAAACTAATGAATTTATTTAAAAATTGTTCGAGCCCAAGGAGTTCTTATAGTGATTTTCTTAAAGAAAAAATATATTTGGGATGAAGAGAGTACAGTATGCCAATGTGAGTAGTGTTTGAGATAATTATCTTTCAATAAAAGGGTTAAGTCAGCTTCAGTTGTTCAAATCTCATAATGTATCTGAAGCACTTATATACCTCCTTCATAAGGTTGTATGTATAGGAGATAAGAATGTAGGATCTGGTAGTAGAGACCAACTGGGTTTGAATCCTGGTTTCGTCACTTACTTGTGCCAACTTGAGCAAGTTAAAGTACTTACCCTTTCTGCATCCTCATTTGTAAAATAAAGAGGTTATAACAGAACCTACCACAAAGGGCTGTTGTAAAAATTAAGTGAATTATTACATATAAAGCACTTAGAACAATGCTTAGGACAGAGTAAAACATCTGCTTTTGGAGCATTTTGGATTTCTGATTTTTGGTTTAGGGACACACAACCTAGCATTTGATTATTAGGTTGGTTATAATAATTACTTTCTAAGTGCTTCATGTATATTATTCTTTCTCCTTACCTAGTTTATTAGTTCTTTGAGGACAATAACAACGTCCTCTACCTCTGGGTTTGTATCCTTAACTGTCAACATATTGCTAGGCACAGTAAGTTTGTTGACTTAACTATATCAATATGATAGCTGAAATCCTTCCTTTCCTGGAAGCTTTGATTGGCTGAATGTTGGTTTTGCTTTATCAGGCATTTCCCTTTAATTTAACACATAGATTTTTAAGAAAAATTTAAATCAATTATAAATCAGGCTTCTGGCTCTTTTCCTATTGTTACCTGCATAAAAATCGAGCTTTGAATGAGAATATAGGTAAGTTGGAAGATGTGAGGTAGGAAGTTATTATAAACATAGAGGGAGATAAATTAGAAGAATAAAAGATAGAACAAAGAGATAAAGAGAAATTTGACTCAGATGAAAGGAAAGGGTGGGAGAGTGAATACAAGAATAGATAAAAAATAAAAATAGGGGTCACAGATGCAGCATAATATCAATTAGCAATCTGACAGAGGATTTTGATAGTGGGGGCAAAATATCAAGAAAGAAGATTTTGGCAGTGACAACATGTGCAGATTATAGAAGAAGTTATCCGATATGAAAAGAGTTAGGGTATGAGTTGAAGATTTTATTTATGAAACAGAAATGAAGAAACCCAGACAAATATTATGAAGGAGGAGATACCGGGGAATAGAAAATGGGAATGAGGAAAAGAGACAGAAGAAATGATTATTATACTTCAACTAATGATGAGGGAATTACTGGTGAGTTTGGGGATAATAGGAACAATTATACTATCAATTTCAGCATTGAAGTAGTGACTATGAGAAACTGGAGATTTAGTCAAGGATAAAGAAAGAAAAGTAAGAGCTAAACATATGCTAAACAAACTATCTAGTGTCCTTAGAGAAAAGTGATTGAAATTACTCAGGAAATGGAGGAAAGGAGAATGTTCTCAATTTGAAGATAGGAGTGTGAAAAATACCCAAAATAAAGATAAAAGAGTACTAGGTAGCAAAAGACAACCAAGAGAGGTAACTATCTCCAGTGGAGAAATAGAATAGAGTAATAATCATATGAAAAAAAGGCTCAGCATCACTAATCATCAGAGAAATGCAAGTCAAAACCACAATGAGACACCACCTTACGCCAGTCAGAATGGCTATTAAAAAGTCATCAACCTAAGTGTCCATCAGGGATGATTAGATAAAGAAAATGTGATACACACACACACACACCATGGAATATATACCATGGAATATTACTAATGCTCAGCTATAGAAAAGAATAAAACGTCTTTTGCAGTAACATGGATGGAACTGGAGGCCATTATCTTAAATAACTAAGAAAGTCAAATACCACATGTTCTTGCTTATAAGTAGGAGCTAAATAATGTGTACACATGGACACAGAGAATGGAATAATAGACATTAGAGACTCAGAAAGGTAAGAAGATGGAAGGGATAAAAAGTTACTTAATGGGTACAATGTACACTATTTGGGTGATGGTTATACTAGAAGCCTAGACTTAACAAAACTGCACTTGTATGTATAAAAAGTGTATAAGACATATAAAAATGTATCAAATGAATAAAAGTGTATAAATTTTAAAAAACACATGGGCACAAAGAGATGTAACGGTCACTGGAAATCAAAAAGAGGGTAGTGGGAGGAAGGGAGGGGTAAAAACCTACCTGCTGGGTATAATGAACACTATTTGGGTGATGGGCACACTAAAAGTCCTGACATTATAAAAAGTACCCATGTAAAAAAAAAGATTTTAAAAAAAGAAGTGTATAGATGTGTATATATAAATAAACATATAATAACTTGGCAAAATTATCAAAACTAAGGAATTAGTTTCAAATAAAAAGCATTTATTAAACACAGGAGAGTTTTAGCAAATAACAGATAAAAATATGCTTTTTAAAAAATCTTTTTAAAGATACTGTGTAAAGGTAACAGCAGCAATGTGAATGTAGGGAGTGGTCAAAATCACTGGCAAGATTAAGGTCAGATTAACCCTTTTTTGAGACAGGGTCTCACTGTTGCCTAGGCCAGAGTGCAGTGGCATCATCATAGCTCACTGCAACCTCAAACTTTTGGGCTTAAGCAATCCTGCCTCAGCCTCCCGAGTTGCTGGGACCACAGGTGTGTGCCTCCATGCCCAGCTAATTTTTAAAAATTTTTGTAGAGATGGGGTCTTGATATATGGCTCAGGCTGGTCTCTAACTCCTGGTCTCAAGTGATCCTCCTACCTAGGCCTCTCAATGTGCTGAGATTATAGGCCTGAGTCACTGTGCTGGGCCTAATGCCACATTTGGCAGCAGAAATGTTCACAAGATTATAAGTGTCTTACACTATATGGAAAGGAAATTGTTCAGTTTTTGTAAGTATAAAATCGGGCAGTTAATATAAAACTATGCAACAAATAATTTGGAAGCCACTGCTAGAATACATTTCCAGTCACTTAGGGAACACTTTCAGCTCATTAAGCTGTAATCATCATAAAGTCTCTGCAAGTCATTCAGGAATTAATATGTGCTAATGTCTGGGTTCTAAAAGTACAAGAAAACAAGCAGACAATTTTGAGTTGCTTCTCCATATACACAGAGGTTCATCTTCTGACAGCCTGAACATTCAAGGTCATGAATCAGCCTATACATGGGAAATCTTATAGCTATACTAAATTGGGAAGAGTATAGATATTGTCAGCTATATGACAGAAGAAGAAATTTTAAAATATCAAGAAATTTAAATCATCCTTGAATGAGTATAACTGAGTAAGGTACCAATGTTCCAAATCCCAGTAAAGGTCTATGAGACTTTGGTAGCATCTGCCATACAAGTAACACCCATCATCTTAAACAAATTCACCACCATAATTGATGTGAAATACTTTTTATTAAATGGTATAGCAAGATAACAAAAAAGATTCTATGATTTTAAAAAATAGGTACTTTGAAGATGATTATCGTTTATGAACCAACTCTTTTTAGCTGGAAAAGACAGAAGACCATAGACTTGAGATGAAAAATATCCTAACAAGTCATGCACAGCACATTTATCTCCTCTATTGTATCCCTGACAGAAAGCCTACCTTTTTCCTTGAATAATTCCAGAGAGTTTTAACTTCTCCCAAGGCAGCCTATTGCATCAGTGGAAATTTCTATTTATTAGAAAGTCCTTTCTAAAATATGGAAGGATTTATATATCCCGCTGTCACTGTCTTGAAATTCTTAATTTTTGAACAAGAAGCCCTTCGTTATCATCTTACACTGGGTCCCACAAATTATGTAGCCAGTCCTGGTTATATGTGGTTACCTCTGGGCAGTGAGATCATAGGTGATTACTATTTTTTCTTTATATCTATACGTATTTTCTGGAATTTTTACAATGAGCATCTTTTAACTATTAAGATAGAAAACCAAAGTTATTTCTTACTCACCAAAAAAAGAAAAAGGGAGGTCTTTCTTAGGATAAATACAATGCTACTTCCTTGCAACTTCGGGACAATACAAAACATCTACTCTATTCCAAATGACGGGTCTTCAAATATTATAGTTATAGTTATCTTGTTTCCCCTTATTTATTCTCTTCTCCTAGCTTACATTATACCTAGTTCTTTCAACTGTTTGTTGTATGAGATCATCTAGGTCTCATTTCTTCTACCATTTCCTTAACAATTTATTTGTCAAAGTTTCTTTTAAAATGTGTCATTCAAATCTGTATACCAGATATGGTCTGAACAAAGACAGGTTTTTTATGTTGTGGGCTCCATGGTTCTATTAATATTAATGCAGTCTAAGATTATTAGCTTTTGTGGGCCACTATATGTTATCATATTAACCTTGTTATCAAAAATACTTTGACCTGTTTCATAAATACAAGTACCAACCTAGGTATTCCATACAGCTGATTTAAAAAAAACAAACCTAAATGCAGTTTACATTTTACTCATATTAAATTTTATCTCACTGATTTCAACCGTGCTCAGATCTTTCAGAATCTTGATATTTATCTTCAAAAATAGTGATTCTCTTCAACCCAAACTGAAAATTGGAATAATGTGGAGTTTTAACCTATCTTTTCCTCAACTTTGCATTATAAAATTTTTTGAACATATAAAAAAAGAATAATATATTGGAAACTCCATTTAGTCATCATCTAGCTTCAATAATTATCAACATTTTTCAACTTCTTTCATTTGTCCCTTCTGGAGTATTTTAAATTCCAGACATTATATCATTTTATCCATAAATAATCCAGTGACCCTTAGTTTTAAAAGGTCTTCAGTTGAATCTAATATGCAGCCAGTGCTGAGAACACTGATTTATGGTATTAATTGTCCCTTCCAATTTTTAGACACCT